GCCTGCAAGAAGGGTTCGATATATCCACACTTTCTGAATTCAGAAGCAGCTAACTTAATAAAGGATAATATAGAACAGCTTCATATTATTTAGTGCTCTCAGGATTCCTCGACTAGTCCTTTGGCATTTATGTTTTACTTTTGATTATTATTATTATCTCTCTCTCTCTCTCTCTCTCTCTCTCTCTCTCTCTCTCTCTCTCTCTCTATCTCTCTCTCTCTCTCTCTCTCTCTCTCCTCTCTCTCTCTCTCTCTCTCTCCTTCTCTCTCTCTCTCTCTCTCTCTCTTTCTCTCTCTCTCTCTCTCTCTCTCTCTCTCTCTCTCTCTCTCTCTCTCTCTCTCTCTCTCTCCTTTACTTTGAGCTGAGCCGTAAGTGGAACCTCCAAAATTGCTAGTCTTAACCGGAATGTTTTCATAAATACCAGACTCCTCCTTACCGATTCTTTAAAGCCATTAGACAGCCATCTGTTCTGCACCACCGCCGTCACGGACGACGGCGGGCTTTCAAGATCATCAAAGGCGTCCATGAGAATAAAGTCCAACACAATATCGTAAAAGGTCAAAGCCTTGACCCCTCGGCCCTGCAGCTCGCCCTCCACGGCCCCCCAGTCGCAGTCCGAGAGGAATTCTAGCATTTCGTCATAGGCCAGCAGCACGTCCTTGGGGTCCTGTCGAAAGTACTTTGCATTAATGCTTCCCGCGATATGGAAAAATACAGTCGTGCCGAATAAGTTAACTAGAGAATGAAACAACTCTTTCGGAATCCAAGCTTAGATCCTCAAGTTTTATTTAAGGACAGCATAAACAGAGCTTAGGCTGTCCTCGTACTTTATCTGTTCGAACAAGAAGACCAGCGATAATCTGTCTGCCGGAGTCGATGAAGAATTGCCTGGTCTCCTCCTGGCCGAAAAGCAGTTGGCATGCGAGGCGAATGCAATGGACCTTGCAGATATACTCCACGTCGCTGCCGCACTTTACTCGATCGGTTCGAACGTCCCTGAAAGCAGAAATCAACAGCTTTATAGCACAGGTGGCAGAGGAGCTGAATACATGAGAATCAATCTCCTTGCTTACACACAGTATGCTAATCACAGTTACATACTAATCAAAATCTGCATTTAAAGCCTATAAATAAACATCTGTCTCCCGCACTGAAGGTATAGTTGGCGAACACATAATAAATAGCGTATACTAAATCACACACAACAAAATCTTACACACCACCTCGTCCCTTAGCTTCTCCGTACTCACCTGTAAGGAATACCTCCGTCTTCATGCTGTTTGAGAGCTGCCATGTACAGCGGGTACTGTGCCTCATCGAACTCCTCCAAGTCCCTCAAGTCGGCAATCTGCGAGAACACAAGTCATGATTTCATATCTAAAAATACCGGGGCGAAGACTCTTTGCTTTTCGATACATATACTATGAAAGACGTGAACGATGTACGAATTATCATGGAAAATACATAGTGGATGATGATAACAACCACAAAGCCAGTCCCGGGCACTCACATCCCCTGAGGCGGACACGAAGGACTCGTAGGAGGACGCCGAGGTGAGTGTGCGTCGCTCGCTAGCCTCCGCCGCGACGTCTGAAGGCACCGGAGTGACGCTGGAGGACCGGAATAACACAGAATGCTGCGGAGGGAAGCGGCCTTAGCTAATGGTTTAAGTGGCATATATAATTCGTGTGAGATTTGATAATGAATCCTTAGCAGCTGTTATTATTACTCGAATAATTATAATGCTTATTATACAGAATTCTTATCATGGTATCTAAAAGCAGAATAATGCATTACAGGCCCTGCGCCAGCCTAACCTGGTGGAGGAAGAGGTGTTCACACTGGTCCTGTAGGCTGTAGGCGTCGTCGATCACCCTCTGGAGGAGCGCCGTGAACTCCGCCTCGTCCTGGGAGGTAAGGGCGACTCCCCCCGTCACCCCCGCCGTGTAGGCTGCCAGGGCGTCCTCCCAGTATCCTAGCGCCGTCTCCAGGGCCTCCATGCCTGCCACAACAAAGCAGTGATTAGAAAACTGAGTATCTTACACTAGTGAACACTATTCATAATTGTTTTTACAATCAAAACCTTGTCCCTGTTACCACTCTTGGGAATCTTCTCGTCGCCCTCAGGACAACTATAGTAACCTTTATTTCGTCTCCACAAACAATGCCTTACATTTTATGATACGCTTGGGCCTTATCCCTGTTTCGAGACAAAACAAACAAAAAAAAAGCAAACCGAGAATCGGATGAATCACACGCACAAATACAGGGATAAAGAAAGTGACACGTCATCGCTCATTTGTGAGTCGTACTTCCTCCCGCGAGACTGTAAGAGGGAAGAGCGGCTAGGGAAGGGGAAATGTAAAATAAATAAAGGAAAGGAGGTAAAATATGATATTTTTTCTGTGTTTGATAAAGATGAAGGGGGAAAAGCAAAGCTCAATACAAAACACTAATTGGAACAAAAGATGGTCCCCTGCAATTTATATTGACAGAAATCAGTGAACTAATACAAGAAGGCGGGGGCAAGAAAAAAAAAAGAAAAAAAAGAAGCAGAAAGAAAAGACGAGAGTGGAAAGAGAGCAGAAGACAAATGAACTGATCAGTCGACTGGTCCCGCTCCAACTGCCCCGGATCTTCGCTGCGACGTCAGTTCTTCCAAAACAGACACTCAGACTACGTTCACAACCTCAAGCGTAACCCACGTCAGTGTTATTCGATGAGCATGTGTGAATGTCCGCCTAAAACGCCCGACACCAATCGTAGCTTTAAAATTGAAAACAAAATCGATTTTTGAGCGGGGAAGGCGTCGTCTCACCGGCGTGGGTCGGACGCAACGTTGAACACACGCTCCCTTCCCCCCCGCCCACAGTCCCCCCGCCTCCGTGTGCCGAGGGTGGCCACTGCACAAACGCCGCTCACAATTCTATTGCGGTATTTCCCACTATCTCCTAACCTTGTTTAGAGTTCGTCCACAACCTAAACTTTCTTTCGTAAAAAAAAATATAAAACAATTCCATATTTTCGTTAATTGATGCCTAACGTGACCTTGATTACTGCCTATGTGCTTTTCATCAAAATGTGAAGCACAGGTTTAGCGCGCTGTGCCAGGGCTAATAAATACATATTCGGGGGAAACCTTAAATGATTTTTCTATACACGACCCCAAACTGACCAGGGACTGTCCGACACAAAGGAGGAAATTATGAGTGAGCTGATTGGCGGACGTGACTCGAGTTCGGGATGGGAAGAAAGCGCTGATTGGCCCATGAACCTCGTCAGGTGGGTGAGTCATTTGCTTGGTTGGTTTGTTGCTCCTGTAAGACATGCCGGCTATTGGAATCACAATACTGGCATTGTCCAGCCTTTCCTTTGTCCGAGAAGGAACGTATTACTCTCCACTGGTGTCTAAATCCAATAAATATCATATATTGCTGTAGGGTTTTCACACACGAAGAGCTAACCACGGAACCTAACAATAAATGACAGACTTGTCATTGGCTCCCCATTCGAAAGAAAAAAACAGCCCCAGGCACACAGCCTAAGCACTAACTAAGAGTCGGCTCATCTTTCTCGCCCACAACCACGATCCCCCTCCCCCACCCGCCCCCTCTCGCCCCCTCCCGCCCCTGCAGGTAACGTCTTGCGTCTTCCTTCTTCCGCCTCCGTAACACCTTAACATTCTATCCACGCGTTACATTTGTAAAGTAATTCTCCCACAGCCCCGTCCGCGCCTAGTGATGCTCTCATATTTCCCTCTGAGGACCCCCCTGGGACCTTGTTTCCTTCTAACCTCCTCTACCCCCCCCCCTCCTATATCCCCTGCTGGCCCCTGCTTCTGTTTGATCATCCCCTGCCCTCTCTACGATCCCTGAAAACATATTCGGCGCTCCCTCTCTCCGACTCACTATGCAAGGCGACTTCTTCAATGTTACTATGGCCATCCCTCGCTACCTTGCCCTTATTTTTCAACATTAACCAGTCCAAAAACACGTCTTCTTTCGGGAAACTGTATACCAGAATGAAAAAAATCGACTCGAATTCAAGGCTGCAATTAAACCGAAACTGATTGCGTTATGAACTACCCTGCCATTTCGCGAAATTATTGACATAAAACCTACGGACCAAATGACCCACATTTACCATTTTGAGCTGCCGTGATTAAATTAATTATTCATAGCCCTAACGAGTGTCCCTTGCAAAACCAAATTTGGAATTTAAAGTACGAAAGAAATGTTAAAAAGGGGAAAATTCTTTCTATACAGGGAAATCCACGCCAAAAAGAAGTGTCGATTTTCTAAATAGTAATGAGAATAATAATGTATGATAATAATGATAAAAAATGATAATAACAATACTAATACTAACAATGCCAAATTAATTCATATAAGAGCCAAAAAAAAGTCTTGAAAACGCTTACCATAACGGCGTTGGGGGATGTGCCTCTTTTCCAATACAGAATCAAAATAATTACACACCTATATTTGCATTTCATTTTGTAATAGAACTTAGCATTTGTAAATGAGTTTAATCTTCATATCATGGCAGAGGACACTGTATGTGCCATCAGAAAATGAAAATTCTCAAGGTGATAATAAAAAAAATCTTCTAGAAAACCCTCCACTCTTCCAAGACAGACTCGAAACAGACAGCGACACACTCAGACATTCCTTCCCAGACAGACTCGAAACAGACAGCGACACACTCAGACATTCCTTCCCAGACAGACTCGAAACAGACAGCGACACGCTCAGACACTCCTTCCCAGACAGACTCGAAACAGACAGCGATACACTCAGACACTCCTTCCTAGACAGACTCGAAACAGACAGCTACATATTCAGACACTCCCTTCCCAGACAGACCCGAAACAGACACGCATACTGACACGCAGTCTCACACAGACACAACGTCCTCCTCCCCATTCCCTTTCAGCGTCCCCAGCCGCATCAACAGGGACGACTGCTCCCGTACACAGATCTGTCCATGATCCCTCTGTG